CCCAGTTGCTTTTTAATTTAAAAAGAAAAATCTGGCCTCATCCATACCTTTTTATTCATTTTCCCACTATTTTTCACATTAGTTTTCTCTGGGGTTGTGAGATGTGTGTGTGTGTGTGTGCATGTGTGTGTGTGCGTGTGTGTGTGTGTGTGTAAATATATAAAACATGTGAGGGTACTTCAAAAAATTCATAGAAAAATTTGTATTATCTTCTAATTCTATTTTTCCATCAACTTTTTGAAGTACCCTTATGTGCATGTATGTATATAAATATATACACACACACACACGAAAATCTGTCTATAAATGAAGGTCTTTCTTTGGTTATTATTTTAAATTCCTTAACACTTAATGGTGAATGTTCCTCAGAGTTATTTCCATTTAAAAAACCAACTCCATATTCTTGTCTTCAGATGAGATGCAGCTATTTCTGTGAAAGCCCCGAGTCTTAAACTTATTACACAACTACAATCAAATTACATCCTTCTCTCGCCTGTTAGGGTCATTAAATGTAATTCTTCCTGGCCTAAGAAACTTGAGCATTCTATCTTCTGCATATTTCCATTCTATAAGTTTCCAAGTAGACCTTTTTACTATTCCTAACTGTTACACGAACCCAAGGGAATACTTGAAAATGAGATGCAGCACCAGCCTCTCTCTTGCGTCTTCCAAGCTCTACTGGACACTCTGCACTGTGAGGTCATTGGAGGCATGGACAGCATTCCCATGGGTGTGGCCTGAAGATTTGTTTGGTTTTTTGTTTGTTTGTTTTTCCCCCTTTGGAATGCCAGTAATTCCAAGTATGAGATATATTGAAATTAGTGTCTGGTCTGTAAAAAAACAATCAGCAATTCCATATCTCTCTTACTGTTAAATGCAGAACTGATCAAGGCAGGAACCATTTCTTATCCAAAGCTTGAGACAGTTTCTTCAGTTAATAAATATTGGGAGGTGGCCACATGCAGTGACCAAGTTTGGAATATAACCACAGTCTGATGGTCACCATCCTAAGACTTGGGCAAAAAAACCTTCTAGGAGCTAGGCTGTTGTGGGTCCTACTGACTTTCTGAGCAGGGAGAAGACGCAGTAGCCAGCACATGGGGGTGTGAGATGCGTAGGAGGCAGTCGGGGACTGATGAAAATAAAGGGGGGATCTTACAATGTAGAAAAGTTCTTCAAAGTGAATGTGCTAAGTCAAGACCAACAGCATGTATGAGTAGACTGTCATTTTATCCTCACTTGCTGCATTAGTTTGCTGGGGAGGCCCCTCCCATGGCCACTGTTGGAGTTGGAAATAACCAGATTTAATTTAATGAAAGACACTGTACAGCTAGCTTTGTTCTTTTTCTTCTGTCAGAAAGGAGATCTTCACAATACCGACTGCCATTTATTGAGCACCTGCAAGTGCAGCCACTGTGCTAGTTGTTTAATTCTGTGCCCTCTCTGGGCATTGCATCCATCTCTAAGGGGGTCTCTGTTTTACCAATGAGGAAGCCAAGACTTTCTGTGGTGCCATGATTTGTGCACAAATCATGCACATGGAAAACATCTGTCTGGCTCCCGACCTCCCATCTGACTATTACTCAGCCTGCCTTTCTGCCCCGGGATCAGTTACCTGTGAAATGAAAAGCACAGTCTGGGGCTTTATTTCCTTTAGTTTTTAAGTAGTGGTATAGTATAATAAGCAAGATACTTAGGTCAGGATTAGGAGAAACCACATTCTCAGCTTATGGTTATTTTCCTTCATTTCTTTGTCATTTTTTTTGGTGTAAGATTAAATGGCCCCACCCTGAAAGCCACCTTGACGAAAACAAAAGCCTTTGGTTCCCAGAACTGAGATAATCTCCTTGCAGATATGTTTGGGTTGCACATTGGCCATGACCCTCTGTGTAGCTTCAACTGCGCTGTTGCTGATTTGGGGCCTTGTGCAAGCGATCACCAAGGCGGGTCCCGCTGGCTCAGGGCTGCACAGGGGGCCTTTGATGGAGTCAGGCCAGACCCCTACCGTGGAGCAGTCTGTAGGCTTTGGTGGTTTGTTTTACTTTATCCATATTTGATAGTTACTGGTGTGCCCCCTCATCCCCAACTCCTCTCCACTCCTTAGCTTTGGCCTTCTACAATAAAGTGTGCTGCATAGCTTTTTTCCAAAGGAAAGGATGGAGGTTCCAGGGCAGATTATTGGGTGG